GGCAAAAAATATAATAATAATAAATAAATAAACGTGCTGTATAACAAACTGTGAAATATTGTCTAAAATTGGACTTTGCATGAATTCAATGAAATTTGAAATATTTGTGCATAATATTATCCGGCAATTAGTTTAATATCGATTATAATTTCATATAAATTGTTCAAATTTACATTAATTAAAGTATTATAAAAAAAACTACAATTATTTCCCATGACATAAGTAATGAATTTTAGTCCACCAATAATATTTATATATGCATATTTGTATTTTAAATGCATGTTTAATTTGCAATATGATAAACCTAAACAATTAGCAAATTACTAGTACTAATTATTAATTATTATGGTTTAGTCCCCAAAAAACTCAATCCACATATTGAGACTCTCTCTATTTTTTTTTTTTTTTTTTTTTTTTTTTGAAACGCTCAGGACGTTCTTTTAGAAGTTTTTGCTCTGTATTTTCTAGAAGTGATAGGCTAATTCATTTTTGTGCACATGTATCCCAATTACAGAGTATCGGATCTTCTTTTTCTTTTTTTTGCCTTTGACGAGCTGAACTTGGAATTCCTTATGCATGTTAATATACCTATTATAGTTATTCTTATTGTTCATTGCTTCGTGGATTGATATCGCTGCAACATTACTTTCTGGCTGACACCCACAGCTGCAACGCGTTAGTCCAGACATAACCACGGCCTTGTATAGCATTAGCTGTAAGCGAAGTCCCTAGTGTCAGTTAAATGTACTTCTCATTCAGTACTAGTCTGTGCTTTGTGCTTGTTTCGCTCTTATATGCTGCCTCCAAGTGAGCTGCCAGACCAACTCTACTCCTAGGTATTCCCAGTGAAACTGTGGGTCAATTTCTGGGTCTGAGAGAGAAGGTTAAGTGCATTGACTTTTCGGCGTTCACCACTGCTCTCAACTTTTGTAGTCTGTAAAATGCGTACTACAAATTTTTCATTTTTGATTTGTTTCGCATATTAGAAGAAAATAAAAATAATAATCAGATGTTATTTAAATTAAACTCTGAGAACTGTGTTCAAACTATAAAGCAAATAAAGCTAAGCCCATTTAAAAGAACTGCGGCCATTTGTTCTTTTTTTAAAATGAAAAAAATGCTTATAAAGTCTACTATGTTTTCAACAATTAAATAAATTAAAATTAAATAAATAATTAAATATTAAACAATGAATATTTTAATTTACCTACTTTCTTTTTTTTTTTTTTTTATATATATATAAGACAGATGTACGTCCGCTTTAGTAGGAAATAGAATTAAAAGCTAAAATATTATTTTAAAAATTGTAGTAAGTATAGAAAAATTAACACAATACATTTTAAGGAATCGCGGCTATTTGTCTAGATTTTTTTAATAAGAAAATCTCTTTTAAATTATACTTTAATTTAAATTTTAAATTACTATTTAAAATTTGTATTTAAATA